AAGCTAATAATGCACATTAATCTAACAAATTTAAAGAATGTTTGATATCAAAGTAAAAAAGTAAAGAAAATAGAGCTTTTACTCACTAATACCTTGCTGTAAATATTTAATTAAGCCTAAAACAATTACTCCTCCACTTCATTAGTCTGTTTACAGACGAAGAGTAAACTATTAGAAACTAAATTCCAGAAATGTAATTTCAATTTTTTGGTTACTTTATGGTAGCAAACACGTGTTTCATATTAATTCTGAAGCTGCTACAGGATTGTTAACAGCATTTTTTTCCAATGTTAAAGTTGTGAAGTTTGATGAGAATGAGCTTAAAAAATGTATTAACAAGCAAATTCCAAACTGCTGTTTTATTTAGCTGAGAAACAGGACTTTATAATTTGTTTCATATTCCCATAAAAACCACTACATTGTGGTAGAGCGTGTATACGTTTACAAAATCCATATTATCTCAAGCTTTAATAGAGGCCCCATTGTTGGGCTAAGAAACTCTGAGAGAATATACCTCATACAGCCCACAACTCATTATAAACTAAGAGGCCCTGCAGGTCCGCAGGGTTGTGTTTTATCACCCATTTTTTTTCTGTGCATGCAAACAACATTTTCATTCAAGACTGTCTGTGTAAATATGCTAGTAATGCAGCTTTGGTCGGCCTTAGCAGGAGGGTAAAAGCAAGCGCTTGAGCTATGTGCTGTATCGTAATGCAAGATAAATCAGCTGAAAACCAAAAACCTGCAGTACAACCACTTTTACAAATTCTGCAGCAGTGATTAATAACTGGCCGGTGTGAGTGCAGGCAAAAGATACCAGGGCGGCAACACAGAGCTTTGACCTTTAAAGACCACAACGAACTTGAGAGCAAACTGAAAAACTAGAGGCTTAGCACTAAATGCACTAAATGCACGATGCATGACTCGTGCGCTGGCTAGGTTTTTATTACCATCGCGCGTATGTCTATGACAGCTACTTGCAATCAGCATGATATTAATGTGCCATTTCTTTTTATAAAAAAAAGAAACACGCTGCTTTGACAGAAATGTTCCGTCACAGTTTTGACATTAAAGTTTATGTGGAAACTAAAGCTAAAACATAATTATTGCAGTTTTAAATCAAATCTCTAATTTACTGACATACAAACAGTGTGTTATTTTGATTAAGATGTGAAATTAAAATTATTTACTTTCATTCTTGAATAGAAAAATTTGTTTCAGTGGCTGAATGTTTACGCTTGATTAATGTCTGACTTAGATATTTCCAAAAACTTTAAAGCTTTCACCCACAATGCAATAGTTTATTAGACCACCAGCCAATGTAAGGTGCCCTAATTTAACAGGATTGATGATTACCAAAAATCATTTTTGTTTTCTGTAATGGTTAATCCACCAGTATGAATTTGCTCTTTAATCAAAATTGTATTTTTAATACTAAAGCATAATTGTTGTCGTTAACCATGAACTTCTAAATTAATCGTTTTACATAAAACTTTTTTTAAGATGATAAATTATAAATGTTTATTAGTGTTCCTATACAGAAAAAAAAAAATTAAGAAGTGAAAGGTAAGCCTGAATAAAAAAAAAAGAAATAAAACAAAGGAAAAAATTCAAAAGATTTTGCAAAACACATCTAACGTCATGGACCCGCCGTGCTGCTCGGTACCTGAGCTCTGCTCCGTGCTCGGCTCCGGCTCAGTTTTCGCACTGCACTGTTGGCTCTCCTCTGTGCTGGACTGCCGTGGGTCAGACAAGCTCCTGGGCTTCTCATTAGTCATGTCAGTGTCATCCATCACCACCACCAGGGCCTGCTCCTTCTCTTTCTCCATATCCCAACCCTCCTGCATATTCTGCTTTACATGTGTTTCACATTCCTCTCTGAGAAGCATCGCGTCCACCGAGCTGGCGCTGAGCATGCTGAGGTCTGGCAGGCTGCCATCCGGGTCCACCAGTCTGAAGACACGGCAGGAGTTATTACACAAAAACACACACGAACACGCAACTCTGGGCACAGATCTGTATTAATATACATATGAGGACCTTCTGTGACTTACGGATTGTAAATATGATTGCTCCTGTTGTTGTTAAACATTTTATTATTTATCACGTTGTTATGAAACTGACATGAAATTTCCATATGTTGTGTGTTAACCATAGAGTGTGAATGGTGTGAACCTGACAGGACAGCAGTAATGGTTGTGTTTGTACAGGTTCAGGACTAATGTGTCTTTTTTTGTTCTTATTTCCACTTGCTATCTTCATGCCAGCACTCACTGCTGTTTTTATGTCCCAATAATCCATTAAAAAATGTCAAATTATATGCTGTAAATTAATTGTAATTGTGGAGCATGTGGCAACTAAATTCAAAACTTCCAAAGGCATTATTGGTTCGAGCATGAATATGCTCCTAGATT